GCTTCTCTCTCGCAACAGATACACGCCGCAACCATAAATCTCCTCTCCCTCACGTCGTCTCCCTCACAAATCTGTCGCCCTCGTTTGTATTCTCTTCCCTGTCGCTCAAAATCCGGACACCTTCATCTCTCTCTCTTAAACTCGCCGCTGCCATCACCATCCTCGCTAAGGAGCAGCATCCCGTCGCACAAGGAGAAGGGAAGAGACCTGCTCGTTTTTCGGCGCAACCTCTCTGCTCCTCGCCGTGCATCACCGCCTAGCACCTCCGTCGCGAAGGTCCCGCGCATCCACGCGCAGCGAACTCCGGCGACCCCTGTTTCGCGTTTTTCCGGCGAATCTGACTCTCCCGCGAGCAAGTCCACGAACATCCGACGTCGAACCTTCACAGTCCGCGAGCCCCAGCGACGAGACCACCTCTAGTCGTGATCCTTTCGACGACCAACAACCTCCTAAGCGCTGTTCGAGATTTTTCCGGCGTCCTTCCATTCGAGCAGCACCTCGTTGAGCGGCCCTTCACGTCGGAGCATCTCAGCGGCAACCTTGGACGTCCGAGCAGCACCTCTGTCCACGCCCTCGAGCCGCTGACCTCCTCCGCGAGTCGAGCGAAGCCGCCGAGCTTTAGCCCGCGAGCTCGCCATTCTCTTTCGTTCCGTTCTCTGAGTTTTCCCGAGAACGGTACTTAGTCGATCCCGTCTCGTTTAACTCGTATATATGTTGTTTTCGTATTATGTTGATTCACGAGATGTGTTTCTTTGTGTTATAATGTATTCGATATGAGATTATGTGAAATTATGATTTTATGTGTCGTTTAAGTGTTCGGGGATCTCTTCAATTATGAGAAATTGAATGAGACCTCAAACTCGTGTAAGTCGGTGGATAATGGAACAATGTCGAGTCCTTGGCCTTATGAGAAGACCTCGGACGAGAAATTTCATAATTTGAATGATGTGTTAAGTTGTCGATTCTGGTAATCGCTGAATTAGTGTTTGAATTTTTAAAAATCGCACACTGCTCAGAACGACTTGAAACTTTGAGGAATATGTTTTCTGCTCATTTCCAGCCTCGTGTAAAACTTTTGTAATTTTTAGAGGTCTGTAGCTATTTTTAATAAATAGAGTGAATTCTGATCAGAATATTGTTTAATGCTTAATAAATTGGTTCTTAATTCAAATTAGTTGGAATTTTAGCATGTTGTGTGTTTCATGTGTTTATATGCTGTGTTAAATTTTTAGAATTTTTGGATTTAAATTGGTATGGTTAATAATTTAATTAGTGTTTCTGCTGAAAGTTATATGAATTACTAAAAATGGTTATGTGTTGGAAAATTCTGAAACTTGGTTGAGATGCTGATTTTATGTGTATATTGATGCTGTTAAAAGATGGGAATTTTTAGAGTTCATTTTGATTCGGTTTTGATTTAAATTCGATAAACTGCTGAATCTTGTATGAATTTTTAAAAATAGCAGCAGTTAATTTTAAGGGCTGAGATTTTTACACAATGACTCTAGCATGCTGTATGTTGTTATGTTAAATTTTCAAGTCCTGATTCATTCATTAGATTCAGATATAAATTCATGTGCGTTTTTGCTGATTTCTTGTAGGAATTTTATAAATTTGTGTGCTTTGAGTTTGAAGCTGAATTTTTTGTGGTTTCACTAATTACTGAGAGATGTAATTTTGGTTGAAATTTCACAGCTTAAGTCGTAGGGCAGCCTCGTCAATGAATTTCATGTGATTAATAGCTAGTAAATTTTAAAGTACGATTTGGAATTTAAAACAGTAATCGGCTTGCTTTTCGTTCTGTTGTGAGTTTGACTTGGTCTATCATTAGATGGAATTATTTGAACTCTCATATGTTGGTTGGTCGAGTTTAGTATCGAGTCTTAGTGTTCCAACGTCCACAGGACTTCACGAACTACTTAGTCGAAACAAGTTCGACTAGGTTTGTTTTGTGTTTTCCGTTTAAAGTCAAGATAGATGTTGACTGTAGCATCTTGACTCAATGTAGGTAATTGAGGAGTCCAGCCTCGACCTACTTCCAATTGCTTTGAGTTATTATCAATCCGGAATCCAGGTGGGTTGNNA